TGCAAGCACCAGGAGCGTGTCCCCAAGCCCGGGATGGGAGCTGGGGATTGCCGGCCACGGTGGAGGGCAGCTAAACTGGGAGGAGGAGGGCTGCACCAGGTGGTTTTTCCAAATCCAGATGGATCCTGGAGATTTTCCCTGGCTTGGCAATAGCCGGACGCAGAGAACGGCCTGAGGTTGCACTGGAGACACCGTGAACCCCATGATCCCCCCCCTCCCGGGTGGTTAAAGCCTCCCCCTGATCTCGGCAGCGTGCCGGGGGAACACGGGGCGGCTCACCAGGTTCTTGAAGAGCGCGGTGACCTCGCGGGTGAAGACGGCCAGGTTGAGGAAGCCGGTGGAGAGCTCGTGGTTGTTCTGGGAGAGGTGGTTGTTGCCGAAGTTCTCCAGGGCTTCGCTGTACTGCTCCTCGTTCTCCACGTGGGCTGCACGGGGAGACACCGGTGAGGGATGTGGGGTAGCCCTGCAGCACCCCGTCCCTGGGAGACGGCCACATCACAAGGTCCCACCAGCACCCATCACCCGTCTCCCCATCCCTCCGTAGCAGAGCTGGGCTGATCCTGCTGCAGGACAGCAGCGGTGTGCCCTAAACAACCTCCCCAAGGTTCTCGATTTCCCTTTTTACCCCTTTTTAAGCCAGTTTTGGGCACCCTATCGTGTTGCCAGGCTAGCTGGCCAGCCAGCACCCACGGCCACCCAACTGTCCGGCTGCGTCACCCCATGGACAGATGTGACCAGCGTTGGCGGAGGATGGGACCGTCGCAGACCCCGCCAGCCCGGGGATGCCCATCAGCTCTCAAAGCACAACTCACTGAGCCCGGAGATGTGAATGGCTTTCACATATTTCCTGATCCTCTGGAGTATGGCTTGGTCCCCATCCAGGCTCTGCGAAAGCGAAGAAAGAAAACAAACCGAGCTCGTTAGCCCTGCCAAGCGCGGCCACCACTCCCCCCAGCCCAGCTGGCCCTTGGAAAGGCGGCTGCTCTGCCATGCAGATGTGCGGGGCAGCGGCCAAGCTCCCGGGGCTGGGAGAGGAGCCGGAGGCATCTCGGGGACGCTGGTGCCGCAGCGTCCAGCCGGTCCCCTGCCAGGCCTGTGGTCCCCACGGCTTTTGCTGCCAGGCAGGGCTTTGGCTGCCCCCGGAGAGGCGGGTTCGAGCGAGAGGGTAGCAAGGGGTGAGAGGCTTTGCCAGCACACCCAGCGCCTCTTTGGATCTGAGCAGCTTCCAGCAGCCGTGGAAAAAGCCTCCCCGGCTCTCGCAGGGACCGTTTCAACCAAGGAGGGGATGAAGCATCATGTAGCACGAATACAGCAGGCCATCCCCAGCACCCCAGCACGCGTCCCCGCGGCTCAGGGACAGGCACGGTGGGAGAGACCTGCGAGGGTGCCCAGCTCCCCGCAGGGGTGGGGGGTCCCCACGGCAGAGCAAAAAAGGGGAGTCCCCCCCCGCCGATGCCCGACAGGGACCTAAACGACATAAATCCCGCAACGGGGGAACGCAGCTTTCCGCAATCCCCCCCAGCTCATGCAGGGTCTTGGCCGTGGCCCCCAGCACCGCGGACCTCCCCGCAGCCCCCGCCGGCCACATCCTGCGCTCACTCAGAGAGTGTCCCCCGTCCCCAGCCTGGTGTGTCCCCCCCCCGGGTCCTCTCTCCATCCCTCCCTACCCGGGCAGCCCTCATTCACCCCCACCAAGCATCAGGGCAAACTCAAGCCCAACACCAACCTGCCTGCGGCGCAGCCCACAGAGCATTGTAGCCGAACGCACGCCAGCCCAAGCCATCAGGAAAGGGTTAAGGGCGGCTTGGCTGCAGGTACCAGAGGCATGATAACAGGCTGGAAATATTTAGAGGGCGTGAACAGCAAGAAGGGCGAGGGATGAAACCACGGAGGAATTACAATAAAGAGGCTCTCTCTCTCGCTCGCGCTCTCGCTGAAGGTTTTCAGGCTGATGTCAAGGCCGATTTCCTGACAGCGGGGTCAGCCTGGCTTCGGCGCCGCTCTCCAAGGCCCTCCTTGTTGGACGGGATGCTGCGGACAAGCTTTGGCCAGGATGAGCCGGCTGGGAGGGGACCGGGGCCGAGGCGGGAGCCAAACCCCCTGCCCAGAGGGGTCTTGCAATGCCTCTACAATGGGGAGGATGTTGGGGTGCCCCAAAGCCCCCCATGCCCCCTCTCTGCACCAAATCTGGGCACCCCAGGCTCTCCAGAGCCGTGGGCTGGGGCAGAGACATCCCCTGCCTCGGGGGGGGGGATGCCGGGGCTGGATATCTGGATGCTCCAGGCTTACAAACCTGGCGTAGCCTCAGGAAGGGGAAACTGAGGCAGCATGAGATGCTCTGGATGCGTCACCGTGCAAGTGGGAGAAGAAGCTGCTCCGAGTGCCCGGGACGGGGTACCCCATCCCGGTGCCAGCTCACAGCCGCAGGAGGCTGAACGCAGGGAGCGGCGATGATCTGGGGATGGTCACGGGGGCTTTCAGGAACGGGTCCGCGAGACGACCAGTGGGGATGGGGCAGGCAGAGCCGAGAACCGGGGTAGTAAATGCAGAGGAAATCACTGCACAGTGCTGCCCCAACTGCGGGCATCGCTGGCATCCCCGGCATCCCCGATGTACTGGGCCGGCTGCCGGGGACACAGGCCTTGGCTGCACAGGGACAGCCCTCCGGAGCAGGGGGCAGTGATGTCTGGAGCCCCCCACAGCACCCATCACCCCCCGGCCCAGCTTGGGAATGAGGGCTCCCGGTCGGGGGAAGCTGAGGACGTCGGCACAGCGGGGGACGGGAGCACGAGGGATTCCCCGTGGGGATGGAGGAAGGGATGGATACGCACCTGCACCACAGCCACCCGGGCTCACAGCCTG